TCTCTCTCTCTCTCTCTCTCTCTCTCTCTCTCTCTCTCTCTCTCTCTCTCTCTCAGAGTACAAGAGATGGATTGACTGGTGAATATACAGGTTTCACATGAATATGATTTGATTATGCAGGAATCCAAATCATTTGCCAAAAACATGTTCCGGGGGTTGGTTCAGTCAGACCAAGTGTTCCCATACCCAGAAGGTAAGGTTACAAAAGATAACATTTATTTTCTCAATGATTATTCATACACAATAGTGTTTTTTTTTAATATAATTTTAGGCATATTTAAATTTGGAGCTAAAAAACAATGTGAATTATGAGACATGTATTTTTTTCCCAGTACTGAATGAAGAGCAAAAAGAAACCTTACAAACACTGGTTCCACCCACTGCAAAATTTTTTGAGGTGAGATCCTGAAAATCCTATTTTTTATATCTAGGTCTTAACTATACAACAGTTCCTTGTTATATAGCTTAAGGCAACAGATAATGTTTGGAAAATTTTAGTCAGTCTGGTAAATTGTTATTTAAAATCTTTATTATGGATATAATTTTTATTGTTGTTGTTGTGTAAAGATAAAACATTTTAATTCCTTTACTAGTACATGTAACTATGAATATTATTATTCCTTTATATTTAATTATGGTAGGAGGTGAATGACCCTTTTAAAAATGATGCAGATGAAAAAATTGAAGACCATACAATGGAAGGGTTGAAGGAACTTGGGGCTCTGGGTCTACAAATCCCAGAAGACTTGGGTATGTATTTACTTAAACTTTGAATAGATCATAATTTTATAAAATCATAAATATTTTCCTTGATGTACATTGTCAGTCAACATCTATGAATTATGATTCAGTTATATCTCAATGGTCTCCCTGACAAATTAGATGGAAATACTACCCCAAGGTGCTTTTATTTGAAAGTTTTTTTTTTTTAATATTTCAATGATTTATAAGGTCTAAAGAGGGGAAATAGTTGCTTTGCAGGATATTTCAACTTGAAATGTGACTTTTATCATTTTCCAAGTGGCGTGGCTCTCCAGGGGTGGATTGAAACCATCTTTTAAGTCATCTGAAAGATGGTCGGAATATTTCAAGTTAACATTGATGGGCATCTAATTTTTCTGTCAGAAGACGGTCTAAAATTGAGGATGGTCAAAATAAGACAATTGGGAAAGCTGTCAGAAAATATCTCGAGATGGGCCCCCGGTCACAGCGCACTTACAGGCTTACTATGCCCTTGATTTCATTCTTTCATGAATGTTGCTTTATTTACCAGGTGGTGTGGGTCTCACTAATACACAATATGCCAGACTGGTGGAAATTGTTGGAGAACACGACCTTGGAGTGGGAATCACGTTAGGAGCACATCAAGTGAGCAGCTGCTACTATATAATTTCAACTATTTTACCTTTACCTTTGATAATCCATTTATTGATAATATCTACACACATTTAGTTGGCCATAAGTGTAAGTTAGTTGTTGACCGTATGTGACATATAAGACTTTAATTATATCAAGGCACAGTGGAAGACAATAATTTGTAACTTCCATTTCAGTCTATTGGGTTCAAAGGCATATTATTGTATGGCAACCCAGAGCAGAAAGCTAAGTACCTACCTCAGTGCGCCATGGGAGAGAAAATGGCGGCCTTTTGTCTGACGGAGCCCTCCAGTGGTTCTGACGCACAGGTATTTAAAAAATGGTCATTTATTTATTTATTTATTTAGTAGCAGTAATGTAATTTGTACAAGACTTGGTACTATTTCAAAAACAATTATGAATCTGCAGTATTACAATACAGGACAAAAAATGATCAAGTAATCTCAGCTCCTGTTTCATTCACTGGAAAAGCATGTATTGTCCTTTTTAAAAATTCAGAAACCAAAAAAAGGTTTATAAGATGTGAGTAAAAACAGAATGAAATCCATTTTTTCCTTGTGTCATGGCATTTAGATAAGTGGATTTCTTTTTTGCATGCATTTTCAGTCAGTTCGCACCAGAGCAGTTTTATCAGAGGACGGAAAGCATTATATCTTGAATGGAGGCAAGATTTGGATTAGTAATGGTGGAATTGCAGAAATATTTACAGTTTTTGCTCAGGTTTGTATTTCAAGTATAGTCTATTGATTAATTTAAAATTAATTATATTGATTTATTTTTTTATTATTATTTAGAGGAAAAGATTACACATAAAGTGACAGTGGCACTAAAGAAAAGTTAAATATTGTACTCAAAATATAGAAATGGGCAGACAAAGGGTAAGTTTTTTTAATTTAAAATTTTTGTAACTGTATATAAGTTCCTAAATCTACCTCTATGAACACACTGTAATGCAAATATAGAAGAAATAGTAGAAATAGAGTGTGGAAAAACTTGAACATGTAGTATATACTGACTGTTTTGGAGGATTAGTGTCACCCATTTTATTTCCAGACCTCAGATGTAGACCCAAAGACAGGCGGCACAAAAGACAAGATCACAGCATTCATTGTGGAGAGAGGTTTTGGGGGAGTTACAAGGTGATGGTTGATTGCAACATTTTCTTTCCTGTTTTTATTTTACTCCTCACCACTGGCATAGTTTATAAATCCTGTTGACTTGGTCTCTCTGTTTTAGATTATATGTTTCTCAAAGGCATTTCTAAGAATAAGTTAATTTGGCAGCAGTTTTGTGAACAAAGTTTTATACAAAAAAACTCTACCCTAACACACTCACTCACTCACTCATCTATTCACCCACCCACCCACCCTCTCACCCACCCACTCACTTACCCTCCTCACCCACCCACCCACTCACTTACCCTCCTCACCCACCCATTCACTTACCCTCTCACCCACCCACCCACTCACTTATCCTCCTCACCCACCCACCCACTCACTTACCTTCCTCACCCACCCATTCACTTACCCTCCTCACCCACCCATTCACTTACCCTCTTCCCACTCATTCACTCACCAACTCAAATATTTTAACTTTCATTTATATGTCCATTCATCCCTTTATTTCAGTGGCCCTCCAGAGAAGAAGATGGGTATCAAATGTTCCAACACTGCTGAGGTTCACTTTGAAGATGTGAAAGTCCCAGTAGAAAATGTCCTCGGAGGTAAAAACTGAGTCCGTTTTAATTAGCCTACTAAACAATATGTGCAGATTAAATTTACTCTTGGGACCAGTCTCAGTAAAGAACGTCAGCCGTAATGGTTGTCTCAGGTGAAACAGACCAGAAAATTCAGCCTTATTATGTAACTATGTATTAAACAGCAATAGTCCAACCCACTAGATAAGTTAATTAAGAATAGATAAACAAATACAACTTTATAAAAACCAATCTTAAGTGCAGTAACTGTTATAGATTTAGATACTTCATTTATGTGAAATATGACTAGATGAAGTAAGATTGCCTATCTCCCTGTTCTAGGAGTAGGAGGGGGTTTCAAAGTGGCTATGAACATTTTGAACAACGGCAGGTTTGGGATGGCTGCTGCCCTCTCTGGCACAATGAAGGGAGTGATCAAGAAAGCTGTGAGTACACCTCTCCCCCACTCTCCTGTTACACGGGGATACGATAGACGTGCTATCGCACACACGTGCATGCACGCAATGTGCAGTATACAGGTCCTGTATTATCCATTTCAGTTTTCATTGATTTAATTTTCCCCCTTTTCCTGCACAAACAGAAATCAGTACTTTGAATCTTTGAATTTTATTTTGTAGATCATTTATTTATTGTTCGTTTATTTATTTATTTATTTATTGTTAGCAGTAATATACATCTAGCACTTTGGATATTTGCATGTTATTTTGTACATTATTTAACATTTGGTTTATTACTCATTTTATTTATTTATTTATTTATTTATTTATTCTCCAGGCTGAGCATGCTGCCTCTAGGGTCCAGTTTGGTGACACCATTGGAAAGTATGGCGCCATCCAGGAGAAACTGGCTAAAATGGCTATGATGCAGTATGTGACTGAGGTAAGATCACAGCAATTTGTGCCCCTTCACATTTTATTTTTGTGAAAAAAAAAGAAAAATAGTAAAGGTCAGTTTGTATATACCGCCCTACTTATGTGTCTCAGCGTGGTTAACAATGGTCATTTTTGGCCCTGATACAGGTTGGGTAATGATGTTCTCAGCCTTACTGGGGAGGATTTTTTTTCTTATAAAAGAGTGGATTTCAAAAATTGGTATATATTCAGTCGAACCAGGTTTAGGCAGAAGAATCAAAGTTACTTAATCATAAGTGTTATATAAGAATCTTGTCTTTTATGCAAATTGTTCATTGTGTTGCAGTAAAAGTCACAGAGGCAAAAATACCTTCTACTTGGTGTTTTATTACCGCATTAATTATTAACCTTAAGTAGGGTCCCTGTCAGCACAACTAATTTTCCCCAAATTCTATTGATATAAAAATATCATATATTATTCAGATATTTTGTGTTGCATATTAACGTGTTGTATTTTATGTGACCTGACCTTTCCTGTCATCTTCCAGTCCATGGCATACATGATCTCGGCCAACATGGACCAAGGTTCGCTGGACTTTGAGATAGAAGCAGCAATCAGCAAGGTTTATGCATCTGTAAGTTGACACCATTCAGTAATATATTCATTTATTTGATGGAATTTGATTAGATATATTTCATTAAACATTGTGTTGACTGAGAAATTCAATATTCTTCTCATTCTCACATTTAAAAAAAGTTCTAATGCATTGCAAAGGCTAGGACTTCTTCTCCAAAAGAGGTGTTGCAACTGTTTTATTACCTAATAAGGGTACACAGAAATATTCATAGTTTTACTATAAATATGTTGGTTAGTGTTTATCATACATTGCAGGAAGCAGCCTGGGCGTGCACAGATGAAGCTATTCAGATCCTAGGAGGTATGGGTTACATGAAGGAATGCGGCTTGGAGAGAGTCATGAGAGATATACGAATATTCCGCATCTTTGAGGGAACCAATGATATCCTTCGACTACTCATTGCAGGACAGGGACTGAGGGTAATTTTTTTTTCATTGAATTTCATCTTTTGTAGTGTTTATTCTTAAGACATCTTTGGTATGTTTTGGTGAAAAATGTATATTTAACAATGTAAAAGGGTTAATAATGTCAAATTGACCATCAAAATTGAATAATTTTATCATTTCCTTATGTCTTTGCCTTTGATGGTTTGTTAGTTGGCTACCTCAAAAAGTTATGGATAGATTGCTTTTCTAGAAGTAGTAGTAGTAGGCATTTTAAAAGAAAAGAATACATAAAAGAAACATTAAACCTATTCCAAAATGTTTCCCGCAGGCTATAAAATTGACTTTTCCACAATCTTATCTTCTCTCTGTGTGTATTCCAGTATGCTGGTCAGTTTATGAAGGCTCTACAGAACCCTGCTGCTAACATTGGAGCCGTGGCTGCATTCGCCTCCAAGAGGGCAAAGAAGTAAGTCGTCAAACTTTGCCCTGTAGATCATCTACTTGAAGTGTATGCAAATTGTTTACATCCAAAAATAGGATTGAACTAATTTTGTTCTTTGAAAATGATGGTTCATATATATTTTTCTTTGTTTTACTTTGTGCAGTTTATATAATTTGATAACTGATGTCGGATTGGATAAGGTCTACCAAAGTATCACAGGATTGCACCACTATATGCAAGTTAAATATGATACTTTGTATGTTGTTCCTAGTAACCAATGTTGAATCAGACCACTATCTTTTCATGTAAGCGGATACTTTTCTCTTGAATTCAAGTTAACAAATTGTTTTGTCTGAAGATTTTTTGTGATGGTGACCCCCAATTCTGTTCTACTTTTTTTTTTCAAAGTTAACTTAATTCATCACTCTTAAGTCATCCCGAGTGTGGTAGTTGTGACAAAAGAACAACCAAAATCACAATTCTGTTCTTCTTTGTTTTCCAGGAGTCTTGGTCTGAGCACTGGAGTCTCTCTGGCAGAGTTTGCCCACCCCACCTTGAAACAGGCCGCCGCTCAGACCTCAGCTGCCGTGGAAGCCTTTGGATTTGCCACAGAAGATTGCCTGATGAAGCATGGGAAGAATTTAGCAGGTACCTTTTCATACAGAGATGACAGTCTTCCGTATATTTATCTGGATATTTGTGTAAAATTATTATAGAAGTTTTCCAGATGGGGAAGTGGGTCTTCCTGACCACCACATTTACAACTAAGCACTGGCACTTGCATTTTCAGTATTTATTTTAAAGTCCACCTTTTTAAAGTTGTTGGTTTGAGAATTTCAGTGAAGTGGCTTACGCAGTTTATGGAACAATTGAAAGGGAAGATTATCAGTTGCAATGAAAACTGTGCATTTGTTAGTTAACTGAGCAGTCTGCTTATGCATATGCAATTCAAACATGATGTTTTTTTTTTTCGAGGAGGGGATTTTTAAGCTTCAAAAACAAACTTGAAGAGTAAACATAACATATTCATTTCAATATTTTTGTTTACTTATTTATTATTGTTTCTATTGTCATTTCAGCGGAACAATTCCTGCTGAAGCGTATAGCAGATGCTGCCATAGATGTGTATGCCATGGTTGTCACACTGTCCAGAGCCTCCAGAGCATTAGAACAGAACTCTCCTACAGCAGCTTACGAGGCTCTCATGTGTTCCACTTACTGTGATGAGGTAAGAAATATTCACTCGATAGAATTATACATAGTTCACATTACCATTGGAAGAACACAATATATGCCTTTACCCTTCAGCTGTTTCTCTTTTTGACTCGGTCTGTACCAAGTTTAATTTTTTTTTTTTTTTTTATATGTATAAATTAAGTAATCATTTTGTTTTGATATATGAAACTTAAATGGTATTATATTCAACTTTTAAGAGCTCTGGTGTAAACCAAATTTTAAACACATTTTATAAATACTAGCTGAATGAATGAATTATTGTTATTGTTATTGTTATTATTATTATTATTATAAATTGCTTTGTTCAAAATGTTGTACTTAATTCATTCTGGGATATTCGCCAAAACTGGTTGTAGTTGGATGATAGGGGCATTTATCTGTTTGTTAAAATTTGTCTAAATAAAACTGGTTAGGTTGGCTTTGTGTATTATTATTATTATTATTATTATTATTATTATTATTATTATTATTATTTAAGAACCGAAAATTTTACTAATTTTGTCTCAGTGCTCACAGGCACACATACAGTCACATGAGCAATGTGAAATTGATAACACGGTCTCTCTCACCCATATCAATATGCTGTTTCATTCCAGGCTTTAGACAGAGTGAAGATTGCCCTAGCCGTCTCCCCGCGCCAACGACAACTGTTCAAAAACTACGCCGCCATCTCTAACGAAATCATCAGCCACGGGGGAGCTCAGCAGCAGAATCCACTCGGCTTTTAGACTCCAAACACGACCAGATGAAAGAAACATTACAAAATAGCAAACAGAGGATTATGTATCGGATATTTTTAATGAGTCTTATTGGACAGCATTCATTGAACATTCGGGTTAATTTATTATTGAAATGGCACTTGTATATTATCGCGTTTGTGTGAATTTCGTATTTTGAGAAACCAGGATCTGTTGATGAATGTGTAGCTAATTTGATCATTTTGGGTCAATTTTTCATTGGAAAAAAAAAAAAGAAATACTGAGAAAAAATCAGAAAGCTGTAGCGGCATAATAAGCATATCGGTTTGGTTGTGCGCGTAGTTAAAATCCTGGTTTTTGTACAAAGTAGGAAAACCTAGTGTACTAATTGACATTCATAGCACTGTTTGGAGTGTTTTCTTATAGTTTTCACAACAATTTATTTGTCATTAGCCACAATACGTCGACATTTGAAACTGTATGAATATATTGCATGGAGATTTAACAGAAATGTCGCCTGTTACTAGAAACTTGACCGTTGAATTATCATGGATAACACTGGTTATTTTTCCATTCATTAGATTATCATCATCATGGGTATATTAGAAATCATAGCATGGAATAAAAGAAAATAACTATTATCCACATTGATTTTAGTAGTTTAATCTTTAAGAAGAGCCTTTATTGTATCTAGTTTTAATATCTGTTGGAATCTTGGCTTTTATCACCGCCATTGGTTGAAAAGGAGCACGTGGCAACAACGGCGCGGACGATTAATTATTAGATATTTTGTTTACACGTCTTGGTCGATTAACCTGTGGCGTAGCCAAATGTGTTGGTAGGTCCTAAAATTAAACTTCATCAACTAAACCTCATTCTTGTAAAATTGTGCATATCAAGGCCGTGTCGATCGTAGGTTCTGTCTGGGGTCCGTATGACAGAATATACGCCCTCCATTTAGTTATAATGGTTAGGGTATTCCTGACCGAAGTGGGTCAGCATTTAGGGCGAGACTTACCTATACAAATGAATGGGAAGCGGACTTACTATCATGGGTGACTCTGTCACGTTGCCCATGTGTAACAGGAATGGACTTCAGTTAAACTGAGTTTTCCTGTTTACTTTCTGAATAACCCTTCATCAAATTTTATAAGGTAGTGTTCAATACAATAAGGCAAATCTACAGAACGGCAATCTTGGGGGTTTCCTGGCTATTTCACCCTTCTTTTATTTGTCTGTTTTTCTAATTGTTTATCTATTCATGTAGTTAGTATTTATCATCGGGTCATAGACACTCCTTTCCCTTTTGTAGATTGCTGAACTTTTTAAGAAGATCGTATAATCATTGGCCTTTAAAGAGATGACAGATCAAACCGTCAGTCAGTTAATCAGAGCCGATGTTGCCTAGACCGCCATCTAAAAATATCTCCGGTTCCTTTTGTTTTTAAGCAGAATGTAAATCTCGAAGCTCAATTACCCGTAGGAATCCGTGACAATGCAGACGGCATTGTTGAGGCTGCCTGCCTGCACGTACACCTTTCTCTTTTTTGCCTTCTTACAGTGATCTGCAGCAATTTTGGACTATTAATTTAGTTATTTTCACTACGCATTGCCATTAAATAACAGGAAATCAGCGTTGCAAACTCCCAAAGCCTCTCCCGTTTGGCAGTCTAAATACAAACCGTCTCATCAACAAATTCTTTAAGTGGCGTCCCCAGAGGTCTCTGATGGCGTTGACAAGAAAACAAAGCCAGGCTAATTGCATCTTGTGTCATTTAAGTTAACCCCTCTGGATGTCCGACTCCTGACGGGAGACGAACCAAATCAGCGTCCGCTAAATTAATTGCCAGTTGTCAAAGAACCCTGAGTCGCAGAGTTTCAAAGTGTTGTTAGGGAAGCCCAACTGGTAATAAAAATCATTCACGAATGGTTGAATCGCCAATCCATCTGGTTTAGATACAAGGATAATAGCAAAAAAAAAAAAAAATGAAGTGCATTACAATGGCTTCATTTCTTGAAAGTATTAGATGAATTTAATGAAAAAAGATGGTTTCAGGAAAGCATACAATAATGGTATCAGTGTTCTGTCTCTGTAGTATTGCATTGCTTTTTTGATAGAAACGAAACTTGATACATCTCAAAGACAGCGCTTTTCTTTTGGTCCCAAACATTATTACTTTGGCTGATGTCTCTTTTGGCTTTTATTCCTTTTCATTTGTTTTAAGTTAAACTTTGTAATATTATAATTTTACATGTAATGATATATGTCAACAACGCTGAGACGTTTGTGTGGTGTGATTTTCAGAGATAGAATATTGCTATCATTATAATTATTAAAGTGGAATTTGTTATATTTCCGCCACCACGCGTGTCCAAAGTACCTGGAAACTCACTCCTCTACTATCAGCAGCTACTAGAAACGCCAGAGGCATTCTGAAAGCAGCAGGCGAGTTTCCAGGAACCCCAGAAATCCAGGGTTATCTTGATTTGAACTATGCATATAATGGGGTTAAAAAGGATAGGAGTTACGTTTTGAATGCCAGTAAACAGATTGACCTAGACTGGCCTATGATATGTTCTATTTTACCAGTCGTGGCATCGTGACATTTAACGGCAGAGGGACAGCGGAAGGAATCGCTCCGTAGTTCTGTTAATAAAATTGTTTTCCCATTGTAGAGGTAAGATGCAAAGGTGAATGGATTGCAAGAGAGAGAGAGAGAGAGAGAGAGAGAGAGAGAGAGAGAGAGAGAGAGGATAAAGAAAAAAAGAAAACAGCAGATATGCAAACAAGGCACTGGAGTTTGAAGACAGTTTAGAGACAGTTGTATGGTTTCTTTGATGTCGATGACAGTTCAAGGGGAAATAACGTAATGGCCATTCTTAGTCGACATATTAAGTCTAAATTACTGGGAAAATATACAGGACATTTAAGTTGATGATCGTAATAATCAATGATAGATCTTATATAGTTTGGACTAATGATATGCCAATTTCATCCCCATTAACAACACTGTTGGAGGCAATGCACATCAATGAACCCAGTTGTCGGAACCAATACGGCACTATTGGAGAATAAGACTGGGATTCATTGACAATATACTAACTCTCAATTGGACTCTGTTACCCAAATTCAACTCACATTGTGCTGAAAATGATGATTTATTCATGTTTATTCCTTTATTAGTTAGTTCACCTCGGCTTATCCGATGCTAGGTCCATTCAGAAGCGCAATCTATAGTTTCCTGGTCAATGAAAGCAATGCATTACGAACAAACGGCGGAGTCTGGCTGACGTAAATTGGATAATTACCCGCTATTTGGTATAAAAGAGCGTTTTGGAAGAAGGGGTAATTGATAGATAATAGATTTATGAAGCAATGTTGTAGTGGATAATAAGTATCGCAAGAAGAGGCGGCTTCCATTACACTATTAAAGTATGCTCAATTGTTGTAGTCACGTATTAACGTGTACTGATTACTCTCCAGAGCGGTGTCAAGGACTATACTGATAAGAAACCGCTTAGAAACACTATTCTTCCTGATAATGTCTTTGACCCTTTAATTTTAAGTGCACTTCTAAAACGTTTACCAAGTAAACTCTTTTATTCAACTTCCGTTTATTATATGTAATTTGTGACAAATGTATAAAAAAGCAAAAACGTCTGTTTTGGCACAAGGCAACAGAGTAAAAACAATTGTTGAATGACTATCTTTAGAATAAAATGAAACGTGCTTCCAAACATCAACACAGGTTATCTTAAAAGACTAAGGGAAATATTTAAGACGATGCCATTTCCGTTTACAACCCCTCCAAGAAAGCGCAAGAGGGTACTTGTAAGATATCGATTAGCAGGCACTTTTCGCCGGTAAAAACAAACGGAAAAAGCCATCAGCTGATCGTCTCACAGAACGTGTCGTAGGTCTCGCGGGGAATACGTTTCGTCATACCAAGTCCGCATATAGGCCTGCACACGCAGCGCGCGGAGTCTGTTTCATCACGACCACCAGCAAGTGCGTTTGCGTGTTAAAATGCTGTTCAAGTGTACTGCCGCGGGGATCCTTGGCGCTCTGGTAGTTTTGTCTTTTGCGGTGGATATTGGACAAAGTTTTAATCTCAAACGAGCGTTCAGATGGAAAGACAACGACAAAAGAAGTAAGTGTGGAGTATTTAAGAGTTATTTTGACTATTTAATAGTGTTTCAGTTAACCTTAAGTACTAGCAAGGTTAATATATAGTACATGCAAATGCCTTTCAAAGACAGAAAAATTACCCGTTGAGAATTCGAACAATATCTCTGGGCAATTTCATTTACTTTTATGTGAAACCCGTTGTAGACTTACGCTCTTGACAGTAAAAGAAATAAATGAAGAGCTGTCAATGAACCAAACTCAGAATACTTTTCTTCTTCAAATATACATATATTTTTATATGTATTCGAATTATTTTTCTGTGTTAATTTGTTTAAATCTAATGAACTTTATGTAAACTTAACATGATCAAATCACAAAAAATATTACAATATAAGAAAGAGAGTTAACTGATTATAAAAGTCACCCAAAGGCAAACAATTATAAACTGAAAAAGAAGAAAAACGAACAAGAAGGATAAATAGCAATGCCATTTCCAGTTCTGCAAGACTGCAAAAGACAAAAATGCTATTTTGAGAAGTCATCACGACATGTTTTAGTTTCATAAAATTCTTAAGGTACTCTTCAAAGACATCATATCCGACCATTTTCTTTAGAAACAAAAATCTTATTTAACAATGGTTTTCAGACTAGATATTATTCTTTTGGCTTTTGGCTTAATGTATTTGACTGTGTTCCAAACGACCGTGCCACCCGTTATTTACAGATGCTAACTGCTATTTAAAGTGCGATTCAGAGAGAAAAGAAAAGAGCTCTTGGAATGACAAAAATCAACGTAAGGCAAAAGATAATCTATAATTTTTTTATCATAGGTTGTGAATCCCGTAAAAATGCATTCTGTTTCATGTTTCAGCTTTACCGTATACAGTACTTGCAGCGGCCCAAATTGAGCGCATGAAACAAAATAACAGACAGCAAAATTCCCCAAGGGTTACTTATCTAGCCGATCAGAAACGGGCAGAAAACTCCCAAAAAACGAGTCCAGATGTCTTCGAGGAGTTACGAATAGACAGAAAATGGCACTAACGCGGTGAGTACCTTACGCAAAATATTACGATCAAAACGAACAAAACTAATTATTTAAACAAGGTTGAATCACGGCGCATGGCGGTGACGGCGGTTTAGCTATCTGCTGTAAGAACAATAATATTACATTGGTGAATCTCTTTCAATGACACATCAACAGATGTCTGACATAATTTTCTATCTTTGAATTATTTATAGTAAAACTTGAGACCCAAAACACTGGTAATGTTGTCAAGGCATTTTATCTCAGACGCACTTCAACTGGTAGTAGAATTGTTGACAAATAGACTGATTGACGTCATTCGACGACCATATTGCGTAATAATCCTAAGCTAGCCTTTGAATCTATACACCCAGGCTGCAGCAGTTACAGGGTGCTGCGGTCATCTGAAGTATCATTTTAAGATGCGCAGGGCGAGTGGGGGGGGGGGGGGGTTGTTAGATTTTGATAATGTTGGCCTTTTTATCCCTTCATCTGGCTCGAATTGAGAAATGGCATTAAACCCTAGATCAAAATTTGATACAATGCGAAACTTCTCCGGCGGAAAGGGTCGTTTTGTCGAAATCTACAACCCACCATGTGCCCGAAACCCAATATGTACCGCAATTTGTTCGTTGGGGGACGTAAGTTGGTTCGTGTTGAAGCTGGCCCTTGTATGGCCACTTCTTGACAAAGACTGGACCTATTTAATCTCAATATTTTATAACTTTTACAGTTTTTTTATTTGACAATGTAATGTATGTTCTTAACATTTCTACATCTTCCTAGATGCCGATGGTGATGTTTCTCAAGACAAAGATATCGACAATCGATTTGTAAGAGAGGGTTTACTTGTACAGTGGTGTAGTGAACTTCAATACTTTATCCGCAAGGAAGACGGCAACACTTAAACGTGGCTCTTGAAGCACTTTTTGCGTGGGAGGCCGAGAACCTGGCCATCTGCATCCTTTGTATCCAACGAGTACTTTAACCACTCGAGTTTCCTGTATAATAAATGTATTGTCACTGCAGATACGTGTCGCCAAATGGAATGTAACTGGTCGGTTTATATTACCATATACAGCTTTGAAACAAGGCTGAGGCTTTACACTTATATTTGAAGGGAGGCGCTGCTTTCATTTTCACAGAGAGCTTGAGAACAGAAACTGGTGGCTTGAACATTAAGTGTTGACATGTTGGTCTTTGGATGCAATATGTTGTCACGTGTAGAGGACATTTGGCGTGCCGCAATACTCCAAGAGCTCCTTCGTGTTATTGGATTACCTTATGGGAGACTTGCTTCGTGTCATGCATTGATTAGATACTCATCGAGACGTACTTATTGCATTTGAACGATGTGTTGTCAAAAACATGAAAACAATTAAGGTCTTCTTAAGATGATTGTCGTGTTTACTGTATCCCTGTCAAATCGTGAATCTGTTCTCTTTTAAAATGTCCACTTTCCTGAGCACGTACATGTGATTTTGCTCTAAAATGTATATTTTTTACAACAGACAATTAAACATTGTTCTTACCTATATAGTGTTTGCCTGTCTCCAGTCTCCATCGCGTTTCATTTTTCCTCTCCAGTTCCAAGATATTTAATTAAATTAAGCTTGTATGCGATAACCCGACCTGGTGACGTTATAGATGGATTAATCTGGTTAATACAAACTGCTGCATACCTTACAGGCACCTTGCTCTGTGCACATGCTGCAGCTAGAAATGCTCGGATTGGTGTTCCCTATTTAAAAGTATCATTAAATATTTCATACAAAAATTGACGAATTTCATGACCGAATAATATAGTATAAGACATGAACTATACCGTAAGGCGCATAAAGTGTATTAAATAAGCCCGAATGTCTGTTTCTTATATTAATACTTGTGCATACACTGTTACACACAGAGGAATGGATTAAAATAATGACACGTTTAAATGGTTTACACAAAAGTTGTTTCAAGTTTGTACTTCACTTATCTGGGGCTTAATTGCAATCCCTGACACCTGTTCCTGGTTTGAAAAACATGTAGCAAACAGGATGGTGAATGCAATCGAAGGGGCTTGCGAATAAATTGCTTCTTATCTATAGTGTTTCTGTAGTGTTTACTGAAGTCATGTAAAAAAACGGGTTCTCATTTTTTCTTTCACACTTGCTATAGTGAACTCTAGTGTTTTTAAGCGCCGGAAAAAGACGACGAAGCAAAAATGTTGCTTACGATAGAAGTACACTTGGTTTAATGAACTATAACAACATAGGCTTGAGTGTCCAAAAACTACGTACCACTCGAAATCATCTAAAAAAATTAGCAGCTGAAGTGATTCCTAAAATCTACAGGTTTTGACGAAAAAATATTCGCACATTAAAATTGTCACGCAATCTAACATGGCGCAGTGGAAATAACACACCAAAGCGCAGGATGTTCTTCCTCTTGTTTAGCCAAGAGTGATTCAAATATCACAATTCACATTGTTTGAATTAATTTCATACCGAAGAAAAATGCATCCTTTGAACGTATGTTATTGATAATATGTCAAGTACAAAATATCCTAATCTAGTAAAACGCGTGTATTTTGCGTGTAATTTGATGTCAATTCGTATTGGATATATAGCCAATGTCAAAGCATCCGCTAAATCAATTGTGGTAAACGCTAAAGCAAAGATTGATTCTCACTGTATTTATATGCACATTGGTTATTCCGATCTCCGAAATAACAATTGTACACAGGGGAGTCTGAAATGAGTCAGGAGCTTCATTTTTCTGATGTGTCAAGTTACTGTTTTTCTCGTCGCTTGAACGAAAACAAAATTCCTCGGCGCACATGAACATGCTTTTCTTTCTGCCATCAACCCCAACTTTGTTTATTTTCACAGTGATGGTTTTCCTCATGGCAATTATTTTCGAATTATTTCAAGTTTAGGAAAAATATTCATCTCAGAAAAGAATACAAACAAACAAACAAACAAAAAAACAGGATATAAACATCACACATTAATTTGTGCAATCAAACACATAAAAAGAATAGGAAGCAGACTCGTGTAATAAGCCCATCTCTTTGAATTTGATCCACTCATAATTTGATCCACTCAGTAAATCCCCACTGAAAGAGATATACTTAGAGCCCAGGAAGAATTGATAAACAAGAGTAACCAATTGACGGTCAACCAAANTCTCGATCGATCATATCAAAATCTCATGAAATAAACTGATTTTGAAGGAAAGGCGGGGGGGGGGGGGGGCATTAGTGAAATATTGATAGGATATTTATATAAACGTTCTTTAAACTTATCAGTTGAAATTTGGCGAAATATCTAATACTTTATGTGGTGAGCTAACTCATAACCTGCACAGATTGTTTTCAGCAGATCAGTATCGTTTTGTGCATGTATGTCAGGCATGTTTTGTGCCTTATTAATTAAGCATAAAAAACTATTAGGCTACCTCGGAGAACTGAACCGATAATATAACTCCTAGTTTGCTAAACAAAATAGAGTAAACTAATAGCTTTGGTTTTTTATCTAAAACATAAGAGGGCATATCAATATACATTCATGCATAAAAATGGATAGGAGATACACTGCAAAGCGACCGGAGGGTTATGCTTTGTTACCATCTACCAGGGCCGCAATTATTACTGTGGACATATTTCCTCAGGCGATTTGCACAGTGCAGCGATTAGCCATCTATTTAACCAGAGACACATCCGTTAATATCTAGTGAAAAATCAATCTGTGGCCCTGGTAGAGGGTAATGCTTTGTTTGTTTGCTTTATTTGCAAGCTGCCAAAGAGTCTACAGGTAACACTGGCTGTGCAATTATATGTGATGGCAATGCGCTTGTGAACAGCGGTGAACAAATTGTCGATGCGGATTTAACGACAGACTTCTGTGGTAAATATTTATGTTTACAAATGAAATGTAAAGCAGATATGACACAGGTACTGTCTCCATCGTCGCGTGTTGACATGAGATCACAGCATTGTCGTGTTCTGGCGCACGAGCTCTGAGTAGCCATTAGTAAATTAAGGTCTTCTCTCCGTAGTCAAAGTCACGGGAAGCGTTCTGTTGGGATAAATGTGACAAGGACATTAATGTTTTCAATTTGGTTAAAAGTCAAACTTTATTGGCACATTGTCTGGGGATAACGTTAGACAAAAAAAAAATTGCAAGGCATAAAAAACAAAATATTTAATTCAAACATTTTATAATTAATAAAATCTAAAACTCTTAGTTTGGGGTTATAAGATTGGATTTATTTTTAAATCTGAATGTCCTTTAGTAAAGACTGGCGTCGTTATTTACCCCACATTCAATAACTGCTAACCTCGCACAGGCGTCTACCTCAGTATTTTATCACTCGGTCGTTAAGGTGTTCTTGCTCGAGCAACACAGGGTGACTCCCCGCTCTCACCACCAACTCCAACCAATTATTGAACCGAGCAAATAATTTCTCCTTTTCCGTCCATATAGCAACTATAACGTTATTTGGCGCCGAGCCATCGTCCATGTAATGTGGTGCTTAATCCCTGTACCGTAGACAGGTGTTACCAGAATGTTAATCCTCGGAATTAATGGACGCCCGGGTCCCACTGATAATAAGCGCATGTTAAGTTTAACCGAAAATATCTGGTCAGTATATAGAACGAATGGCACCTGTACAGTTGCAGAATGTCGAGAAACTGGTTACTGTCCTCAGCGAAGAACCATTTTTGTCACAATCATTATTTTCTCTCTGTCAAAACTGAAATCTATAAGGTATTTTTTTCAGATACGGTGCATCTGCGTATGTTCGATGCGTTTGCGAAGAAAGGACACGGAAAATGCGTCGAGGTTAATCTAATATTATATGAATGCAGGGCGCTGAAGTGTCTTAACGATTTTTAAAAACCAAGAAACTGATGTTTCTTTTTTTTCTATTTCTTTTTTTCAAAAAACACTTTGGCAACGCCATCTATTGTCATTTTTAAAATACGGCAATGACACCGTGAGACTTAGTCTTTTATTCGAGGGAAATGGGAGAGGACGTAAGGAAAGACAAGAGGCAGGTAGTGTTTACGGCGCACAGGAAGCCTTTACCGTGAAAGACTATACCCGTGCTGTCAAAATAAAAAAATGTTCCGATACCGGGAATCGAACCCGGGCCGCCTGGGTGAAAACCAGGAATCCTAGCCACTAGACCATATCGGAGCTGATGAAAGAATGTTACTTTTTGCCAAATATATAGTAAAACAAAGCGTTTCTTTTGTTAAGGTAGAACATAATGGCTGTAACGCTCTCTTTTAGTAGAGTTCAGAGACTGCGACAACCGGCGATCGGTGCCAACAATCGAATGTACTAGGTCGGCGGAGAAAGCTTAAAGGGCCCTGGAAGTCTCACTTTGCTGGACTGATGACTTAGTTTAATCATTTAAATTAAAAAAAAACTTTTTTTCGTGACCAGAAACTAGTGTCATTTTTGAAAACTGATTATGACAAACCAGACAGGGAGGAGGGGTGTGCGGCCGTAGCGATTGTATACTCTAACACGGGAGAGTCCCACAAGTGCCTGCGTTTGTTCCATTACGTTGGTCATTGTATTGTAATGACATGAGTGGTGGACGAGGCAAACTATCTAGAACCAGGCTACAAACTAGTGATTTTCTGCAACCGTGCACCCTACCAACTGGGCTGTAAGAACCAGCCACCTACGACCACCGATCTTGCCGCGCCTCACCCTAGTCCACGCCCTACTTGACAAATGAAACTAGGTTAGTGAAATCGAGATTTTTTTCACCCTGGCAAGGTGCGTGACAAGGGGCGTTGCAAGAGGCGTGGCACGCTGCCTTCGTATCTTCATCTCCAAGCAATGCATACGCCTTTTAAAATAAAAGAAATCTTCATTATAACTATGGATCTTAGATATGACGCTATATTTACAATTGAAATGATGCATGTTGAAGTGAAGGACAAATTGTTGTTTTATTAATTGGGCATTTTGATGATCTCACAGAAAATGAAAAACTCAACCATTTGTTACTGATAAAAGTTTATTGAAATGACAAAAGCTTTAGCACAGTTCAATTCAAACAACACCAAATCGCTTATGATACTGTTCACAAAACGTTATAGCTAGTTCATCTCTTACGATAGAACAGGGCAAAGTGCAAACAAGTGATGACGCAAATATGCCTTGCATTCAACGACTCAAATGGTTCACAAAATCACTCACATGTTTTATGCACTTTAAAACTCAAATAATTGACCGAAACTAAGTTTTTTTAATGGCACTCACTTATGCAACATCTTTCATTTCAAACCAAAGCAAATACATCCAAAATAAAATGACAACCACAGAATCTGTTTTAACATAAACAGAAGATGGCGGTGACCATATCACCATCTCTTTTTAATTGAACATTATGTCTCTTCAGTTCATTATATAGCACGTACTTAATCTAAGCCAAAGTACTTCTAAAGTCTAGTTAACCGGAAAAGTTGAGCACAAAGCAACATCCAAAAGCAACCGTGAATTAAGCAAAAGCCTCAAACATTCTTTGTGCATTTTAAATCAAGAAACTAAAGAAAATCACAGTTTAGATTGCTGATTTATTGAGCTCTTGTTTGCGTGAGCCTCACACTTAAGATGACTGGGTTGATATTAGGATGAGCCAGTCGAATTTAGCCGTAGCAACGGCGACGCACTGCACTGTAATAGTAATATCTGACGTATCGCCTACCGTAGCGGTAAATGACAACGTATCGACGAAGAGTAATGCGCTGATAGTAACAAGCACGCTTCTGTCGACTTTTCTCTGAAATATAAAACACATTAAACAATATTAAGCACATTGAACTATATAAATAGACCAGAGCATATTGGTATCTAGCAGCACAGTTCATGCATAACATAATTTTTTTCACAAAGTTGATCAATAGAATTTTTGTAAAATCGATCTCTGACACACGGATTCAATATTGTTAACTTAAACGACAAACCCATATTGCACCACAGCCAAAAGAAACGTTATATTAATTAAAATAATAAATCATGTCAGCCGATTCAACCACGATTTAGTAACTGGCTGTAATAACTTCTTTCAAGTTTGAAGTTTATTTATTTATATTTTCGTATTTCAGGCCTTTAGACCAAAAGTGCATAGTTTAACACATCGTTTCATAGGATGAAAATACAATAAAAGTAACAAACGTTCTTAATATAAGTATGAAGATAAAGATATGCATGAGGTCCACTGATTCAATTGTCTTTTTATATTTTTTCTTATTTAAGAAATTATTTCGACATATTAAAAGACGTATAATAATGTCTCCTTTCTTTCTCACCTGCCGGTGCCTTAGTGGTGGCGCCATCTACAGCACCGCCATCTTTCTCCGTCAGCCAATACGCCTGCAGATCCTTGCAAAAGTCCCGTATTTTGGGACTCAGGAAGGATCTGTCCTTAATTGGAGAGGAGTTGGCAACGTATTGCGTTTGTTCATCCTCTTCTGGGTTATTGATCTCGTCGTTTCTCTGAAAGAATAATAATTTAAGATATTGTAACCCTTTATAATCATCCAGATACCGAAAATGAGTTTTTTCATGCATGCAATGCATGCAATTATTTAATAATACATCTATCTTTGTGGTGATTTAAAACAATGAAAAAAAAACTCAAAAAATTAAAAATTCGGCTTTTATATTTTTTCTTTGCAGTGTACAAGCATCGATAAGTCAAAGCTTTAATCGTCAATTAAACAACTTTCTATTTTGAGGTGAGATAGCAACCGGTATGGAGCGTCACTTCATCCCTGAACAAGACTTTAACACAAAAATTGGCAGAGTTGACCAGGAGTGTTTCGGCTACAACCCCATTTTCATTAAACAAAGGCATTATTTTGCTTTATCAACGATAAAATTCTCACTAAGACCTTTAAGAAAAATCGCTGGCAGGGTGATGGAGTACTATATGGTGTCATTATATCAGCGTTAAAACTGAACGTGGGTGCTCAGGTAAAAGATAAATTTGAGAAACCGATTTTTCAGTTTTTACCCCAAAATTGCAACTATCCATCACCCGAAAGATGACATATATATGTGTGTAAATGTTAATTAATTTAGTCACTGAACACTGAGATTTATTTACTACATAAAAGAATGTATGTAAGGCAGTAAATGGGGAGTTTTAGGCGATATGTGACAATATGCTAAAGCAAAGGTTTATTTCAATTATTATTATACAGTTTTCCATATTCAGGAAGCAAACGTAACGAGAATTGCTCTTTCAACATTTAAAGCTCTATGGCACTGGTTGACTCAATCAAATAACACTTTAATCAAATTCTTCGTTTTCCATGGATTGATAAAGAGGGTGGGGGGGTCCGTGGCCTAAATTTTGTGATAAAACTGCGAATATCTGCATGGAGTTAGAAAACATTTGAATCTTTAAAAATACTTACAGCCTTTTCAAGAGCGTTGGCCACGTCCTTGCTGTCAGACTCGTCCGACTTGTTCATTGGCGTCACGTAGCACGCAAACCTATTGTTCATCTCCATTTTGTACACCACAAGACCCTAAAATGGTGATTATGAATACCTTTATTCTTATAGGCTGCAACAATAAAGAGAGTATGTCACTGCTGTTATCTGGGTCATGTAATCATACTTTCGCTGCCGACAACCAGAAATATCCTGTTCAGTAAGATTTGGCCATCCAGAATTTGATTTTTTTAAAGGAAATATGATGCTGACAAGGTTATCTGTATATATTTACACCCCGAATTAAACAACTGATTCTTACCATTTAATATTTCAAAAACTTTTAAGTACTGTTATTAATATTTTGGTATTATCTTACCCTAGGGTTATCCATGGCAACGTGAAATCGCTCATCTGGGACGTTGTACACGGTGACATTGTCCTTGACATTGACCTTAATATTCTCCTTTTCACTCGTGCCGTCTTTGTTAGTGAAACGAAGGTGGTACTCCTAAAGAAAGACACCTTATCAGGTTATTTTTTCAGTATATTTTTGCCATTACTGTCGCATTAGTGCGCCATTGACAAGTGTCACATCACAATGACGCCAGAATCTGTGACACCAAACGAATGAATTGTGAAAAAGTAGAACAAATGTCATTAAAACAAAACAGTATTGATAAAAACAATAGAAACAGACATGGAATGTAAATAAAGAGAGACTTTAAACATATAGTATACTACAGTTAGTATGCCCACCTTCCACACATCTTGTGCTGCATTGTTAGACATGTGAACTGCTCCCAATGTTCCACCGACAGCAACAGCAACAACAACAATGACAGCAACAGCAACAATGATGTACTTTTTGTACGACGCCTTGATCTGAAATCAAAAGTTTATGTATGAATCAGTCAAGGTGGTCAACATTTTGAATACCTTTTTAAAATGACTCACAAGCACTTAAAGTAACTTCACGTTATGTCTTTGTTTACCTCGTAATTATCTAACCCCCTTTTCAAATTTCACATGCATTTGAGGTAACTTTACGGAAGGTCTTTGTTTGGAGTTCGTTTGGCATAAATTCTTTTTAACCCCTTTTATCTATTACATCATGTTTAGTCTACAGAGGTTAAGTCAGCTTGTTTTGTAGTCTGTTTGAGGACTAAGAATCCTTTGTCTTGGTTTACCAGTGCCTGTAAGATAACAGGAGTTTGATTCCCACAACTAGTTACTACGGTGTCCGCATTATGAAACTGTTTCACCATCACAGCATTTCCATAATTAAAAGTGCAAATTATGTTTATAGGTTTTGTCTAAAAAGTCCTAAATGATTTTAATCAAATTTCAGCTGCTAATGAAGAGAAGAAGAGGCTCCTGCGGCAAAAGAGGAGTCCAAGGAGTCCGACGACGACGACATGGGCTTCGGTCTCTTTGATTAGAGCTCTTAGTACAACAATCTATAAAAATATTGGAGATATTAGATGTCGTCGGTAAAAACAGCATCTCTTTGGGGAAGAACTTATATTTTCTTACCAAAAGGGGGTCTGTTTTGCCCGTTTACAAGGGACTGGCTTGCCTGTTGAGCTGTGCTAAATAACGCCCACTAGCGTTTTATGATGCCGAGCTCACAAGAGAGTTAGCGTCGATTTGACTGCTCATGCTAGCTGGCCAACTTACCACCTTGATAGGAAAAATGTTTCCATTCTTAGTGTTCAAATCAGCATAATGACAAGGAATTTGAACTTAGAATATCCAAAAAGTTTTTGTTCATTGTGAAATTTGGGGTTTGTAACACTCTCATTTTTTTGACACTCGCAATAATGGGATTGTGTGGCCATTCCTAAACATAAATAGTTTCCGGTCAGACCTTATGGACAAACAGTGCATCAAGATAATATAAACACAGCGAAGTGAGACGGAGGGGAGGGGGGAGGGCTCAGGTAGCAAGTGGAGGTGGGTGATTGAGAAGCAAGTACCTACATGTATCTTGGGTAGGGCTATTTGCCTGGACAGCCTCATTCCCCGAGGAAGATAGTTTGATAGACATCAAAATGCTTAAGACAAACAGCGATCTCAAAGCTGGTGTTTATAGAACAAAATAATGTTTTTTTTTTAATTAAACTTTATCATTAAATCTCTATTTCATTCTTTCGATAAGTTTGCTTTTCGAACATCCTCGTTTCTACCATCCTTTTTTTTTTTTTTTTTGGAAATTCCTGTTTGCTGTATTTAAGAATATTTGAATCACTTTTTTTCTTAAAGGGATAACAACTCTTTGTATGACATCTATATTTCACAATAAATACATATTAAAAAAACTGACAGAAATATAATATTTTCTATTTTACCACAAAGACGGCAGTTATTCTGAAAAAATCTGTGTTTGTCATTGGACCACCTGCCCTCCATAGATGGTTATACTCTGTAATAATCTCTTAAGATATTATTACAAAAAAAGGACTAACTTCGAATGTAGAAATCGGTTGATTAACCATAATTAAGTATGGAAAAATTGTCATTTATCCCAGCAAAATTCTTTTTTTTTTTGTCAAAACGAACAGTTGTTATCCTTTTAACTTAGTATCCTTGCCACGTACCTCAGCGTCAGTTTGACGAGGAGACACACTATCAGTGACGACGGTCACCCTTGGGTCGGTCGACTTCTCGTTCACGGTTGGCAACATCTTGAAAACGCACCGGCGTCGCAACAATAAGAGCAAACCTTTGTAAATGATGACAAGGAAGATTTAATTTGTCCACGACACACACCTGTCTTTTATACCTGGCAAGCAATTGGCAATCTGCCAGCTATCTCGCAAACTTCTGATACATGTTATTTACTCTTCTTTGAATCGTCTTCTTATAAGGAGTTTTCGAAAAACTGGATTTCAACTCCTTTAAACGTGTTCAATGGTGATGTTCTAATCAATATTTTTTCAGATAACGCAACCGGGAAGTATTGCTGTATTTTCCAACTGCATGTTTGCAGTAGCGAGAAAGCGATTAGATACGTATGATGCAATGCGTATGTGTGCACACTTAGTGGAGTGCAAAATACCTGTTTGGGCTTTGGATACTTGACATGAGAGAGAGAGAGAGAGAGAGAGAGAGAAAGAGAGAGAGAGAGAGAGAGAGAGAGAGAAAGAAAGAGAATAAATAATAGAAATATAGAAATCATAGAATAGAAATAATAGAATATCTTTCTACAATCAATGTTTTTTTTTCTGGGGAAAAGGATATGCTTGCAATGCCAGTGAAGTCTTGATAGGGGAAGGGAAGGCCCCTCCTTCCAAGATCTCGTGCATTCCCACGTGGTTATCTATCTAAGATAAGAAGTGGTTGTTGAAAACACCGTTAACTGTGTACCAGTTTTGTTGGAGAGGGGGCGTTGGTCAGCACAGCACAGAAACAAGCGCGGTATGCAATGACTTTATATTGCTCCATTATGTGTTCATAATTCTTTAAAATCTCCGTTGCATTTTAAGGCACGCAATATGTGTTTAACTAACTGAAAACGAAAGTGAAAGACGAAGACATATGATACAAGGAGCATTTGATGCCCACCTAAAATGTCCGCTCACTTCTCCCTAAAAGTTTTTCGATCTGACATGTCTAAACCTGGTTTGTGGCCAAAACTGCATTTAACCGGTTCTCTATTCGTAAACAACTCCAGTTTACAGAGAGAACTATCTATTAAGTATTCTAAAAATACTTCACGTAATATCTTGTTTATTAATGACCAAAAGACTGATGTTGAAATAGTGGTCCTTTTGATTCAAGGACAGTTCCCCAGCCCCCCCCCCAGTCAATCACCCCATAGATAATATTGCTCTCCCCCTCCCCCTCCCCAAGAAAAAATATTACAATTTTTAATTATCTTTTTAAAGCATTTATACGTTTCATGAATAATTTACCGAATATTTACAGTATGGCTATATGACGTAAGTATTAGTTATTCTATTTGTAATTATGATCACATGTTTCGGAAAGTTCTCTTATGTTCTAAAACATACTTGAGAGGTAACATATAATTTTACATGCCAAAGACAAAGTTTGAGAATTTGCCTTTACGTTTATATATCAAACACCATTTCATCGTTTTTGTTCTGAAAGCAAAACTTAAGTCATTAAATATTAACTGCATTTCATTTGATTGCTAGTCAGTTATCTGAATAACAGGTCAAGAAAATACATTTAACAATTAATATATAAAAATAAAAGGAAAACAAGTTTTAAAAGTCATTGTTTATTTGTCATGGGGTAGTGGTGAAACAATTAAAAGTGACAGTTTCTCAAAGAAATACTTGGATAAGTGAGATTATTTGTTTAAAGATGCAGGTTAATTAAAGACAGGGATTATAATTTGTTCCCAGTATTACACTGTTTATTGCAAAGAGTAGCATTTCATGACTGAAAGGGGGGATGTCCGAGTAGATTTGTCCGGAGGGGGGAGGGGGTGTCCCGGGGGTGGGGATGTGAATAACAGTCCTCATACTTTCGAAACGGCTGGACCGAGGGGAAATGATATAGAAGTGATCATCGAGGGATAGAATTGAGAACATCATAGAGGGAATATACTCATTTTAACCCCTTTCGAATATTTGTACTCCCCCTTACTTTTACTGCTATTAAAAACACTATCTTCTACAGGTAATTGCCGCCAGGGCTACATTAATATTGCTGGAAGTGAAAGTACATTGTGACAAGGCTGCTCTCTCGGTGTTGATTTGTGCACAGCCTTTCCTTATTGTTGTCAGGTCCCAATCCATGCTATAGTAAGTTATAAGCTATAACTGCATTCCCATGTCCAGTAAATATCATTTTATTTTATGAAAATATATATTTATTCTTACCTGTTTTAGATGGCATTGTGCATGTCTACTGAGTATTTTACAATATGGGCATTCGAACAATTCACTCCTAATCTGAAAACACGCTCGGGTTTCTTTGATTTGGTTGAGCAGATTGATAGAAAAATCAGGAACGGAATTTAGAATAACCAATATTTTAAAATTACTGTCATCATGTAAATCCTTTCATCTTTATATTTAAAAAAAGCTACATGATCAGAAGGTAGGTTTCGTCTCGCTTATGTACGAGTTAAGGCATGATGTGATTATAAAATCTTTGGAGAACCATGGGGTGGTAAAATCCCAGTGCCTCCGTTAGCCTGTATACCCTTCTTCGGCCCATTGAAAGATCATTTTCTAGAGGCACACGTTGCATTGATTACGGTGCTTATACATATCGCTTGCGTTCTATCAGAAATACACGCAGTTATACGTTTAATGGAGTTAAAGGTAGTCCCCCCTCCTCGTCCTACAACATGTTGTACCACACGTGTTCCCCACCCCCATGACAGAGTTAAACAATTTGATCAGCAGGGCCGTAGCCTCCGGGGGGGGCAGGGGGGGCAGCTGCCCCCCCTGGGATTTAGAATTTTCCACACTGGTAGAGGGACACCCCCTCCCCCCTCGGGGGCTTCGACCCCTCGTGTCCGCTTACTGCCCCCCCTGGCATTTTGCTCAGGCTACGGCCCTGATCAGGAAGATACACAGGAGTTCTCATTCATTGATTTCACCTGCAGTGTGCATCGCCCACGCTATTTCTACAGCGATAAGGACTGTTACAGAATTTGTCATGTTACCATGTGTTGGCGGTCACACCCTGTGTACATTGATACTCCAGTCCTAGCTATAGNCCCGTAAGTCTGTTTGTTTGCCTGTTTTTGTTCATTTGTCACCGGTCTACAAAGCAACTCTAAAAGGTTAAAGGTGGACTTTGATGAAATTTTCGTAAGCAGTGTAAGACAGAAATGAGCTAGCTTAAAGGTGATTCGAGTTTGGTAGTGATCAGGGTGACCATTTGCAGCAATCGCCATTGCGAGTTAGGACCCATGGCCTCGACTCGATTGGAATGAACTCCCAACTAACACAATATTGCTGTTAGCTGCAACACACGCCAAGTTATTCATCTTGGAGGTACTATTCTATCCCCTTTTTTGTTATTATCATAGATGTATGCCCGTTTTATAGGAATAGGTCTATACTTTGCTGAAACGTCTGCTTAGATTTTTTTTAAAACGGAATGTTTACTTGTAAATGGTGGGGCTTGGATTTGATCAGTAGTCTTGCACGTAAGTCAAATAAAAAAGGATATGATGACTTCAGGCGACAGAGATGGCCATAACTTCAATACACTTGCCGTTTTCACAACTTCCTTTGGTGGAGAGATGTTTGATACGGGATCCAAAGCACAGATTATAACACTCAGACCTTGTCGTCCATCACGCCTTGGGGTTTATATATTAGTACCATGTTATGTGTTCTACCGAAGGCGTCATTTGGTTCTTTTCCTCGTCAAGATTATTTCAGTTTGACCAAAGTCGTTGGTAATAATAATAATAATAATAAAAATAATAATAATCATAATAATAATAAACTTTACTTAAAGAGGGTAAAACATGTAAAGCGTATACACTTATCTTACACGTGGCCCTGGTAAGGCGATTATATTGTATAACTCCCGCTCCCCTGCTTGACGTCATAATTTGTGTCCAGTGTACATTAAAGATACACAATAGACGTTCAATATTGATATAGCCAAAAATCTTCATTACAACTATGAAATTTCGATATGCCGCTATCGTTACAATTGAAATGATGCATGTTGAAGTGAAGGACTAATTGTTGTTTAATTAATTTGGTATTTTGTTGATCTCACAGAAAATGAAAAACTCAGCCATTTGATACTGACTAAAGTTTATTGAAATGACAAAAGCTTTAGCACTGTTCAATTCAAATAATACCAACGCCCTTATGATACTGTTTTCAAAGCTTTATATCTAGTTCATCTCTTACGATAGAACAGGACAAAGTTCAAACAAATGGTAACGCAAATATGCTCCACACCCAAAGACTCAAATGGTTCCCAGAATCATGTAGTATGCAATTTACAACTAAAATATCTTGCCGAGATCGATCTCTTTAATGACAAACATTTGTGCAACATCTTTCATTTCAAACCAAATCAAATAAATCCAAAATAAAATTACAACCGCAGAGTCTGTTATTTCATAAACAGAAGATGGCGCTGACTATCGCCATCTTTTTTTGATTTACCATTATATCTCTTCAGTTCATTCGATAGCACGTACTTAATCTAAGCCAAAGTACTTTTAAAGTCTAGTTAACCGGAAAAGTTGAGCACAGGGCGACACCCAAAAGCAGCCGTGAAATAAGCAGAGTTTCAAACATTCTTTGTGCATTTTAAATCAAGAAACTAAAAAAAAATCACAGTTTAGATTGCTGATTTATTGAGCTCTTGTTTACGTGAGACTCACACTTAAGATGACTGGGTTGATATTAGGATGAGCCTGCCGAATTTAGCCGTAGCAACGGAGACGCACTGCACTGTAATAGTAATATCTGACGTATCGCCTACCGTAGCGGTAAATGACAACGTATCGACGAAGAGTAATACGGCGATAGTAACAACCGCGCTTTTGTCGACTGTTCCCTGAAATGTAAAACACATCAAACAACATAAAACACATTGACCAATTTAAAGTACCAAAGCATATTGGCATCTAATGCAAAGGCCATACGTAACATTTTTTTGTTCACAAAGTTGAACAATAGAACTCGATCTCTGACTCACGGATTCAATATCTTTATCTTACACGATAAACCAATATTGTACCAAAGCTAAAAGAAACGTTATATTGATCAAAATAATTAACCATGTCAGCCGATTCAACCACGATTTATTAACTGGCTGCAATAACTTCTTTCAAGTTTGATTTTTTTGTATTTCCGAATTTCAGGCCTTTAGACCCAAAGTGCATAGTTCAACACATTGTTTAATAGGATGAAAATATAATAAAAGTAACAAACATTCTTAATATAAGTATGAAGATAAAGGTATGCATGAGTTCCACTGATTCAATGGTCTTGTTGTATTTTTTTCTTATTTAAGAAATCATTTTGACATATTAGAATAAGTATAATAATGCCTCCTTTCTTTCTCACCTGCCGGTGCCTTAGTGGTGGCGCCATCTACAGCACCGTCATCCTTCTCCGTCAGCCAATACGCCTCCAGATCCTTACAAAAGTCCCGTATTTTGGGACTAAGAAAGGATCTGTCCTTAATTGGAGAGGAGTTGGCAACGTATTGTGTTTGTTCATCCTCATCTGGGTTATTGATCTCGTCGTTTCTCTGAAAGAAGAATAATTTAGGATAATGTAACCCTTAATTATCATCCAGATGCCGTCATTGCGGTTTAAATGTTTTTGCTAGGGCATTATGAGTTCAATGACATATTTTCATCAAACAAAGGCATTATTTTGCTTTATAAATGTTAAAATCTTAAATAAGACTTTTAAGAAAAATCGCTGTCAAGGTTTTGGAGTACTATAGTGTCATTAAATTAACGGTGATCGTTGGTTCTTAGGTAAAAGAGAAACTTGAGAAATCGACTTTAACCCAAAATCGCAATTATGACGTCATGTTAATTAATTAATGTTAATTAATTTAGTCACTGAACACTGAAGATTTATTTATTACCCAAAAAAATGTATGTAAGCAGTAAATAAGGAGTTTTGGGCGATGTGTGGCAATATGCTAAAGCTACCCGTCAAATGTCTATTTCAAGTATTATCATACAGTTTTCCATATTCAGTAAGCAAACGTAAATAGAATTGCTCGTTCAAAATTTAATGCTCTATGGTACTGGTTGCCTCAATCAAACAACACTTTAATCAAATTCGTCATTTTCCACGGATTGTTAAAGAGGGTGGGGGTGGGGGGGGGCAGTGGCCTCAATTTTGTGATAAAACTTTGAATTTCTGCATGGAGTTGGAAAACATTTGAATCTTTAAAAAATACTTACAGCCTTTTCAAGACTGTTGGCCACGTCCTTGCTGTCAGCCTCGTCCGACTT